CCCCAGCCCGTCCCCAGCCTGTCCCCAGCCCATCCCCAGCCCGTCCCCAGCCCAGCCTGTCCCCAGCCTGTCCCCAGTCCAGCCTGTCCCCAGCCCATCCCCAGCCCAGCCCGTCCCCAGCCCGTCCCCAGCCCGGAGCTCCGGGCCGGGTCCTGGCCCCTTCGCGCTCCGCTGGCCCTGCCGCGCTCCTGCTGCCCCGGGCAGGAAGAACGGGAGCCGCGAGCACTCGCGGGGGGTAACGCGGTTTAATTGATGACCGGCTGTGATTACTCAGTAACTCGGAGCCAGCCGCGACTCCTCACTCGCCCTAATGCGGCCCTGCCCCTCTGACTTTCGCTAAAAGTCAAATTCATGGCAAAACCTGAGCCTGGCCGGAGCTGGCATGAGGCTCTGGCATGGGCCCTCAGCAGGGAGGCTCTGTTGGGGTGCCAGGAGCTACGTGGGGTTCCCTGCAGCGTTTGTGCCTGATTGAGGGCTCGTGTTCGGGGAGATGAACCTGACTCTGAAAAGCTCCATCCAGCCAATAAAAATATTTGCCAACACAATTTCATGCACCAGAATAGATGGTGGGCAGCTTTGGCACAGAGAAAGGATGGCAAAGCTGATGTTTTCCAGACAACATTTTATTCCAAGCGGCATTTTAGTAAAACAAAACAAAACCCCCAAAAATAAACCCAAAACAAAACAAAAAAAACCCCAAAAAAACGAAAACCAAAAAAAAACAAACCACATTTGGCTTGTGCAAAATAAAATGCTCAAAGATTATTCCAAACCTTGTCTTTTTGGCTCAGTCTGTGATTATAAACAATTCCCAGTCCAGGCCCATGCAGGGGAGAAGAGGAGCCCTGCCAGCCCCATCCCCAGGCAGAGCCCCTCAGCAGTTGCCTTCAGCCTCTGATACTTTTGCATCTGAGGCTTTTTGCTCTATAATAATTAAATTGTCATCACCACATCCTGGTTTTGGCCTAAAATCTTGTACCATAGTGGTTACCCTTCCAGTCTGTGTGGTCGAAATCTGTGTGGTAGCTCAAGGGTTCTGGTCTGGCCGAGTTACAGGTTCAATATCCTTCCCCTGCAAGGTTTGCTTAATATAGGGACTCCTTTGAAATGAGTGCTCCCCCGAGCAGGAGAAAATAGGAGTTGGGAAATCAAGTGGTTTGAGAAGGGCATGCATCAGCTCGGTGGAGTGAGAGCACTTTGGGGCCCTTGGCTCGGGCTGGCCTCGCTCTCCTCCAGCAAGGTGACTTCTGTCAGCCCTTGGCCTTGCCCAGGGTGTAGCAGTTCCTTTCTTGTCTGGCACCAGGGCTTCAGGGTGCCCATGCAGGACAAGTATCCTCACGTCCTTGTGTTTCCTCCCAAACAGCCTGGCCAGGCAGAGGACCCTGGAGGATGAGGAAGAGCAGCAGAGAGAGCGCCGGCGAAGGCACCGGAGCCTGCTGTCATCCACATCCACGGATGAGGAAGCTGCCAGCCCTGCCAAGGACACCAGCCCAGCTTCCAGCAGGTCTGTGGGGTCCTGCTGCCATTGGCCTGGCTCCTGACAGCGGGGCCTGGCAGCTGCTGCTGGGATGGCTCCTGCCTGGGAAGGGCTCAGCTGTGGGAAGAGATGTGCCAGCAGCCTCGGGCTCCCAGGAGGAGCACGAGGGGGGAACCTCTCGGGTGGCTCCCCGTGGCACAGGAGCAGAGTGCTGGGGGAGGGCTGGTGCCAGGGCTGAGCTCAGGACGGTGCTGCAGGTGGGATCTGCAGCAGGTAAGGGGTGCCCAGCTCTGCAGGGCAGGAGAGCAGAGCAGGCAGAGCCTGGCTGGCTGTGCTGCCCCTCTGAACCTCACAGTGACGCTGTGGCACCTTTGCTGAAGTGGGGAATCTGACCCAGGGGCTTTCCAGTGGTGCTTCCAAAGTCCCTGGCTGCAGGGAGCTGTGGTTTGGAGGTACTCTGGGACCAGGCTGCCCTTACACAACCTGACTCACCCTCTAAATTAATCCTGGAGGTGTCCAGGATTTAGGTGGTTTGTGTCTGCAGTGCATTTCTCTCTGCAGGTTCCCACTCCAGTGGTGTTCTGTGTTTCAGACAGGATGGAGTCAGGATGCTTGGGCTGGATGTGGGGTTGTGGAGGGAGGCTGGGTATGACTACAATGAACCAGGTGGGAAGGACAAGTTCCTCTTCCCTGGTGCTGACAGCAGGCTGGCTGTGTGGTGATTGCAATTCAGGAGGAGGGCAAATGTTATCCCATCTCCTCCCCAGTCCTGGGAGTGTGCAGACACAGCCTGCCAGGTGTCCTTCTGCCCCTTCCCAGGCCTTGTGCCTGCTTGCCTGAGGGAAGGAGGGGAAACAGCTTTTCACAGGTCATGTTGGGACTGTGGGTGGACCTGCCAGAGCAGATTGACTTCCAACCAACACTTCCCATTTTAAATTGGTGGGATTTTTCCTCCAGTGAAGAGTCACAGCCAGCAGCAGACCCAGCACACTACTCCCTGAGCCTGGATCTCCTTCATACAGGACTTGGTGGGTGCTGGTGTCCTGGGATGAGGCTGCAGAAATGCTTCATCTCTACAACAAAAAGGAAAAAAAAAAAAAAGAATTTTAATCCAAACTTTTTCTAAGACAGCTGAGCTGGGGTGATGAGGATGAGAGTGGCTGCAAGCCTTGGTCTGCAGGAAGGACTCCAGGATGTTTGTGGGATTTTTATGTCCCTCTCCAGAGCCTTTTGCCTCACTTGCAGTATGAAATCCACCCCTCTAGCCCCAGGTGCTGAGGTTGTCATCCCATGTTGTCCCTGTTCCTAGTAGACCTTCATCCCTGGTGAAGCCGCAGTCTCCAGAGGATGGGGAGGAGCGGAAGCTCTCAGAGGTGCTGAAGACACAAGAAGGGAGAAGGACAAGGTGCCTCCCACCTGTGTCCGAAAAGCTGAGGCAAGAGAAGGAGCAGAAGGAGCCTGGGGTGGGAGAAAGCTGCTCGGAGACAGAGCCACAGCCCCGTGGGAGGCAGGAGAGCAGCCGGGCTGCAGAGCGGGCTCAGGAGGTGGCCAACGGCAGAGGGGACCTGCCAGGAGACAAGAACCTGGAGCCAGCCTCCGAGAGGAAGGTGGTGCTGAGGGCACGGCTCCAGGACAAAGACCAAGGAGTGCGGACTCCTCGGGGGGAGCAGAGGAAGGAGGCAAAGGAGCCACCAGAGGTGGGGAGCTGCCGGCTCCGCGAGGTGAAGATCCTCACCAGGGTGGGAAACCGCAGCACAGAAGAGAAAACCTCAGTGGTGACCTCATCTCTGGAGCAGCAGGTAAGCAGGAGTGGATGGAGCACCAGGCCTCGGGGGGAGAAGTCCTGGGTGCTGGGAGGAACAGAGAAGGACACAGCCCAGAAGTACCAGGAGGGAGATGGGACCTGAAGGATTTTGAGGAAGGTTTTTCTGAGAGCTGCAAAGCACCTCTCCCCAGGGTCCCACCACCTCCTTCCCCTCCTTGGTGTGTGCTGTCCTGATCACCTTCTCCAGCAAGTCCCACTGACTGACATCATGGTGGCACTGAAGGGCTGTTTGGGACTCTGGGTGTCCAATGGAGACAGGAAAAATTTAGAGGATTTTGATCTCGAACTCCAGCCACCAACCCAGCTCCCACCCTGACTGCTCACCTCCAGCACCTCAGTCCTTCTCTGCAGGCTCTGCAGGGATGCATCTGAGATCTTCTTTTTCCTCAGCAGCCATCCAGGAACCCCTCAAAGCAAGTAATCCAGCTGTCCCCTCCCCAAGATGAACCTGCAGAAAAGCCAGACCCTTCTCCAACTCACGTCACCTTCAGCAGCTCCATCCGACGGGCCAGCCCCAGAACCGTCTCCTTTCGGGTAAGAGCTAAAGTAGGTGGGGAAAGGATTCTGTTGAGGCAGTGGAGGATGAGGGGAAGGAAGGATTGTGTTGGTCTCTGGACTATGTGGGCAGAAGTTCCCAGTAGTGTGTTCAAAACTTACCCTTGGTCTCAGCACTGCATCCCTGCTTCCTTCTTCCCCCTGTTTTCCTTCTCCATGTCTGACTGAAGGCACGTAAAAGTGAACAAGTCCAGTTGTTCCACCTTGTGCTGGCCAGAAAACTTACAGGAAGTGATGAGAAAACAGGCAACTCATTGTCCTCAGAATTTCCAGAGCCACAGGAATTGCCATCCACCTTCCAGCCTTTCCAGTCTTATGTGAAAGCACAGGATAAAAATAGCATCCATCCTCCCTCTCATCCCGTGTTACAGTCTGAGAATATATTTCATTTCAAGAGAGATCTCTGGAATAAAATGATTAAAGAGGCTGAGAAAGCCAAGAACTGTCAAGATCATCCCTGCTGTGAGTCAGGGCTGACTAGCTATGCTTGAGTGACTTCCATGAGACTTTACTGGGAATAAAACTGTTATCACCATAATGTGTTTATAGTCTGGGGAGCTTTGAGATGTGAGATAAGCTCTGGTGTGGGTGCAAATGGAGTTTTCCTGGGGGAGATCAGTGAGATAGTGTCTCCCATGCTTATCTTGGATAACCAAAGTTCACTGCAGGATCTCCTCTCCTTGTCTCTTCCAGATCATCTCCAAGAAGCAGAAAGAAGAGAGCCAAAGCCCTCTCACAAGGAGGTCAGCACCTCTCATCATGTTGCTTTGGTCCTGCTGGGCAAGAATGGCCATCCTTTGTTTTCCAAGGGAGGAGGAGGTGCCGGGGCCTGGCGGGCCTGGCACAGATCTGGGCATGGTCCCCAGTGTTCTGAGTGGACGGGCAGTGATGCTTGGCAGGGGACAGGACAATGTCCAATGTGCAGCTTGCATCTGAATGAGATCCTGGAACCACAGAACATTTTGGGTTCCAAGGGGCCCTAAAGATCTCATTCTAACCCCTGCCATGGGCAGGAGCATCCTCCACTATCTCAGGTTGCTCCAATATCCCCCAGCAAGCCCCCACTTCTCTGGAGTCATGTAGTTCCATGTTGGTGCTTGGATCTGCAAGGTCCCATCCATGGGGACATTAAACAGGTCTGCGAGCAGCCTGACCTGGCTTTGGTGACCAGATACACCGTGGGCAGGTGTATGCTGTAGGCAGAGCCACACTGACACTGGGGGCAATGCAGTTCAGAGCTGGCAGAGCTAACCCAGGGCAGGCTCAGGGGCTCCGAGATATTTCAGTGCTCAGTGTGGCCCTGGAAAGGCAGTGCCACCCAGAGAGCTTGGTCACCAGCAGGGAATGGGCTGCTTGGTTCACCTGGCAGATAGATGCAGGAGTGCCTGCGTGAGATGGGGCCTTCTCCTGCCAAGTGCAGCTCCCCAGGACCATGGGCTGATCCCTGGGGGAGCTGGTTTCAACTCTTTCCTCTTCTTCCTCAGTGCGAGTCTGAGGATCCCAGGCAGCAACAGCACCATTGGGGAGAAGCTGGAAAAGTACAACTCTGCTGTGCAGGTACCCAGGGCCCTTGGCAGAGCCAGGCAGGGGTGAGAGAGATGTGTGGGGAGGCAGAGAGGGGTGGCCTGGAGCCAAGTGGGCAGGGGAAGGGGGGCCTGAGCTACACCAAGTACCAGAGCTGATGGGGATGAAGGAAATGGTCCCAGGCAGGAAAAGGGATTGGCCGCAGGGTTTTAGGAGCAGGGACCCTTGGCGGGGGGGTCTGGGGATGCTGCATGGCTCTGCAGGGAGGAGACATCCTGTGGAGAAGGGTCTGGGGATGCTGTGGTCCGTTGGAGGAAGCCGCGCACAAGGCTGTGAGCTGGTGATGGGCAGGAGGGGATCAGACCCCAGGGGGCTCCGGGTATGAGCCAGAAGCTGGACTTTCCAGCCCGGGATGCAGCACAGCCCTGCTGACGCCCGTCTCTCTCGCAGCGCTCGGAGGGGGTGAAATCCTCCGTGCCTGCCCAGAAGAGTCGCCTGCTCTCCTCGGAGGGGGTGGCGAGCAAGCGCGACTTCTTCGAGAGGAGCGCTCCCAGCAAGGCGGAGCCGGCGGCTCCCAGGAAGGTGAGGCGGGAGCGGCGCTGGGCCGGCACCGGCTGTGCGGCGAGCCTTCCCCTTCGGGTACCAGCTCAGCCTGGCAGGGACTGGTGGGAGATGGGTGCCAGAGCTGCGCTGGGGCACAGGAGCTGCCCCGGCACTGTGTGGGCTCCTGCCGGGCGCTGGAATGCGAGGAGCTGGGATGGAGCCAGGGTGTGGGCTGGGCTGTGCCTGCTGCAGCTCCGCTCAGTCTCCTCGTGCCCTGGGACTGGGCCGGGTTACATCGGTGCACAGGGAGAGCCGCTGCTGTAACCCGGGTGTCCCTCTCTGTGCCACAGGACAGCCTGAAGATCCCAGGGTCGGTGACGTCTCGCATTAATCTGTGGATCAGCCGAGCTCAGGAGCCTGCCAAGGAGGAAAACAGCAAGGTACCACCTTGTGTCAACCTGAAGTGAGAGCCCTGAGACCTGAGGCAGTCTCACAGGACATGGTGCTGCACCTTGGGGCAGGGCTGAAGGGGGATGAGCCCTTGGCTGAACCTATTAAAGGGTTTGAGAGCAGTTTAGCCAGGTTTGGAGGTCTAGAGCTGCAGAGCCACCATGATGAGATATCAAGGCTCTACTTGTTGCTGTGTCCTGACTGTGAGCCAAAAATTCCCAAGGCAGCTGATGACCGCCCTTTGTGGGCTGAGGAAGGAGCAGGAGCCAGCTGGGTGCATGTCCCAGGACACGCAGGGGTACCTGACCCTGCCAACCCAGCATGATCCCATCTCTGCCATCCCATCTCCTCTGCCCGCATCAGCAACTCTGCCTGGAGGCCAGTAGGAGAGGAGCTGTGTGCTCAGCCCCTTCAGCTCTGAGGGGCTTGGAGACCTGTGTGTGCTTGCAGAGGTCCTGGTACATGAGGGGTCTGGAGTCATCTGCACCCCCACGTGAAACCAGCCCCCAGAAAACAGGGGGTCTTGTGGCTGTGGGTGCAAAGTGCTCAGCCAAGGGGACTCAGAGGTCACCACTTGGCCACTGTGGCTACTCCCTGGAAATGTGCAGGAGAGGGACAAGAGAGCCTTTGGCCCCCGGGTTGTTTGGTGTTCTTGGAAAGGAGGGGCTCAGCAGGTCCTGGGCTGGTCTCACTGCTCACAGCAGGGAGGGCTTTGCCCACTGCTCGTGGCAGCCAACTGGCCCACGAGGCGCAGCTCCAGCCTGGCCCTGCAGCCAGGGAAGGTGAATCCAGGCTGGGCTGGGAGATCAGCACTGCCCAGACGTGTCTGTGCCAGGCAGCTGTGCCCAGCAAAGGGTTTACTCCTGGGGAAAGCCTGCAGCTCCTTGATCAGCTCTCCTTTAATAGCGCTTGTTCCACTTCTGTGGCTGGAGCTGCACTTGGCTGTGCTTTGTCCCAGGTGCAGGATCCCAAAGCTGGCTGGTTTTACCTGGACAACGTGTGCTTCACGGTTTGGATACAGACCAAGGCAAGGTTGCACACAATGCATGGGAAAACTTTCTCCTGTCACTTGTGACTCTCCTGTTTGTAGGAAATCCGGAGAATCAACAGCCTGGCAAAGCGAGATGTCTGGATAAAGCAGCCTGGAGACACCTCTGGAGACACCAAGGTAATTATGGAGCTGCTCTGGAACCTGGTGCATCATCTGAGGCAGAGGCAGGATGTAAGGGGAGAAGTGTTGTGGGGGTAATCAGGACCCTGTGACTTTGGGGAGTCAGCAGAAGGGGACAACTGGAGGCATCTGTAAGGGAGAGAAGGACTCTGGTCTGGGAGGAGAAGGGAAGTGGCCTGTCATGGGATTTAGGGGGTGCCTGCCTGCCCCATCCCCTGCTGGGGACAGCCACTGTCATGGTTAAAACAGCTCCATCTTGGGGGGTTGCAGCCTCAGGCACAGCCTCAGTGGTTCCCACTTTCTTTTGCAGTTGCAGTAATACCAGCTGTGGTGTCAGACCATCTGGGAAAAACTGGTTTGCTCCAAAGACCAAAGCCCAGCCCTACCCAACCGTCCAGCAGCCACTGCCACGAGTCCCCTGTGCCATGTGTGGGTGCAGCCCAGGTCATGGGGTCCTCTGCTTGTGGGAAGGGAATGAAGAAGCCTGGAAGAGTCTCCCTGTGCCCCTAGTTCTCACTCACTGCCTGCCTGTGGGTGTCCAGGCCTACAGGCTCCCCACAGATGCTGAAGGCAAACTCCTGCCTTGTTTGCCCACCACATTTTGCTGTTCTGTTCCTGATCTCTGCCTGTGACTCAGAACTGCCCTGGCAAAGGGGATCCCCCACATGGCTCCCTGGCAGCTGGAGGATGTCAGTGGGGTGAGAACCTGCCTGGCTGAGAGTTCCAGCTGCACATCCATGGACCATGTCTGTCCCTGCTGCCTGGGGCAGGTAGGGCAGGCAGCTGCCACCCCCTGCCAGGCTGCCACTGCCAGAGGGGCCCAACCAGAGGCTGATGTTCACGAAGATACACAAGTGCTCAGAGATGTCTCATGGAAAAAGGGGGGACTTGGCCCTGGTGTTTCCCTCCACACGCAGCTGAATCAGAGACTTGTCCTTGTCCCTGTTGTCCCCTGCCCCTGCAAGCAGTGGCCCTTCATCCAGTGATCCAGGGGAGGGTGAGCTGGTCCTGGCCATGTCCACAGCCCTGCTTGGGGGACTTCATAGAGCTGAGTGCCCTGTGCTGGGCCCCGTTTCCCTCTTGCCTTTGCTCCTGAGCCCTTTGCTGTGCAGCCCCTGATCCTGCATTCCCATGGCTGCTGAGCCTACCCAGCAGGGATGGGGGATGCTCTCTCAAGGCCTGTAGGGTGGCTTTAGGGTACCATGGGCAAAGGGCTCAAATTCTATTTGGGGCCATTCTTTGGGTTTGCGTTGTGCCTTGAGGAACCACTGTGGTGACAAATTCAGTGTGGGAATCTGCTGCTGCCCCTGGAGCTGATCCTGCCTGCTGGGCTTGGGAAAGGACTTGCATTTCTCTGTGCTTTTTTTTTTGTTTGTTTGTTTTTTCCTAATAAAAGTTGCTCTTTCTAAGACACTCCTGGTCACCTACTGCTGGTCTGGGACTGGAAACTGTTCCGTTCCCTTCTCCCAACAAGGGGAAAATAGGGAAAGCTCCAAATCAAATGTGTCCTGGGGGGTTAAAACCGGACTTTTCCCTTCTCATTGCAGCATCCCGAGATTGGAGCAGCGGCTGAGGGAGCCGGGTCGGAGCTGCTGGGCAGGCTCTGCTCCCGCACTAGTGACAGCGCTGCCTTATCAGCGTCCCGGCCCCGCTGACAGCTGGGCTGGCTTGTGTCAGCCCCTCGGGCACTCGCGTATCTCGGCCCGGAGAGTTTAAAATAGCAAATCTCTGAGGCCACACAATAGCTTGGGCTTATATGGGCTCCTGGGGGGGAAGGGGGAGCGGCGGAGGGGGCCGGGGCCGCGGCTGCCGAAATAGCAGCTCACAAGTGTTGCATTCCTCGCTGGGCGCCGGGCACATTCCTGCGGCGCTGCCCGCCCCGGGGTGGGCGCTGGAGCCCCCTTAAAGCTCCTGCCCCGAGGAGCCTCTCCAGACCCGCCGGCTCCCCGCGCTCCCGCACCTCCGGCGCTCAGGTACGGCTGGGGCGGCGCCCGCCCCGCCCGGGGTCGCGCCGGGCTCGGGGCCCGGCCGCTCTCCGGTGCTCTATGCCAGGGAGCCATGCCAGAGAGCATCAGGAGCCTCTCCAGCGGCTCGGATTGCCGTTTGTCTTTTGAGCCACCTTGGTGGGTGCCCAGGCGGCTCTGATGGGTTTTGGCTGCCCTGGTTCTGGGGAAATCCCCAGGGCTCGCGTCCCCTGTGTCTCTGCAGTGGACAGCAGGGATGTGATGCCCACGGCCAGCCTGGCCCTGGCTCTCTGGCAGCCCAGGGGGTGGGTTAGGGATGGGATGCTCCTATGCTTAGTCTGGCCCTGCCAAGCAGGACCGGAGCAGGGACGTGACCCATTCCTGGAGCAAACGGTGGGAAAGGAGAGCTCCATGTCTGGGCAGCCTGGAGGAAAGCAGAAGCTCAGAACTGTGGAGAATTAACTTAGCCCCAGAGTTGTGAGCAGCCAGCCCTGAGCCAAAGGATAGGGGGATTTTGAGGAGTGTGAGGAATATCTGGAATGTTGAAAACACAGCAAATTCTGGGAGACCTTTTGTAGTCAGTGCACTATTTCTTCTTTATCTCTGTAATGTCTGCTGGGTTCTCCTAATTCTATCAAATCAAGATTTCCAAGCTTTAATGAAAAGGTTTATGTGTTTTTGTGCAGAGGATGCATAAATATTTCCTGAAGCTACTTTTTCTTTTGTGTACCCTCTTAACAGTGCCAGACTTGTTGCTGTTCCTTCAGCTCTGTGGGATCTAACAGTGTCTGAGGGAGGAGGGCAGTGAGAGTGTAGGAAGAGGCTTTCACACTGTGGAGACCAGGAACCCTCTTCTCCTGTGGCATGAAATGATTGTGTGGAGCCTTGGGTGCTCAGATTTGGCCAAACTTGGGGCATCAGGACCATGCTGAGCCTGGGGGAAAAGTGGGAACTGATGTTGGTGGGGAAGCAGAGATCCTGGGGTGGTGCTGGAGGGAGTGCTTAGAGCCAAGCCCTGGACCCATCACAGGAAAGGGAACAGTGGTGGCAGGACCAGGTGGTGATCCCGAGGCAGAGGGGGTCAAGTTCTGCCTTTATTTGTCTCCAAAAAGCACCTTGTGAGGAACAGTGAGATTAGAGACCCTCTGGAGCCACGGTTATGCCAAGGTTCCCCTCCTGGAATGCTCCTTTCCCATGCCTGAGCATTCCAGCCCTGGGCCCAGCATCTTGAATAAGTGCTCCTGAGGCCTGGCCTCCCCATCCCGGGTAATAAATGCCTGACAGATGTAGCCAGGAGCAGTTGTTCCCAGACTCTGGGTAGCAGGAGCCGGGAAGCCTTGCTGCTCTGGGAACAGGTGGTTCAGCACATGGGAGTTATTTCTGAGCTGCCTTGTGTCGTCTTGTGGCATCTCAGCCCTGCTGGGGGCTGGCATGAGCAGGGGATAGGGCTGGGCTGGGCTGGGCTGGGGCTCTGGGCTGCTCCAGGATGTCCAGGGATGGGGCTGGTGGGTGCAGATCTCATGGTGCAGTGCTGGGTGAAGGTCAGATGAGGTGAGATGATGAGCAAAATCCTCCTGAGCACAGCTGGGAGAAAGATGTGCTGGGAAGATGTTTCTGCAGAGCTTTTAGCCCTAAAACGAGGGCTAAATTGCTTAACCAAGTTGTAAAAGATTCCTTTTAGCTAACAGGGGAAAAATGCACCTGCTGAGCCCAGGCTGCCCCTTTCCCTGCAGTTCTGCACTTGGAGGCTGGGCTGAGAGGGTTTGCTGAGGGCTTGTGCTGTGCCTGGTGCAGGGCTGTAAATCTGAGAGAAGGGGTCGGCCCTGGGCTAAGAATAGTCAGGAAGCAAAACAAGCTGAGCACTGCAATGGGGTGATTTTCCTGTCCCCTGAGCAAACACAGCCCTGTGAAGGCTGGGCCAGGGGGGCTGAGTGCTCTGGACATGGTTCCTGACAGAGTTATCGGTGTCACAGGAGGTTGTGTCCAATCTCCTGCCTCCTGTTTGGGGCAAGCTGTGATCCTGGGACAGCTTATCTGTGATCCTGGGCAGGGACCTCATCTCTGCTGAGATAACGCTGTCACAGCCTGGCTAGGGACAGTGGGAAGCTCCAAGTGCTTTGGAGAGAAGCAGCATCTCTGTGCCCCTGTCCTGGTGCTGAGGAACAGGCTGTGCTAGCCCTTATCTCACTTCTAACCCTCACTTTTTCCAATCTGCCTCAAACTCTGCCAGAGAACCAGGGATGTCAGACACGGAGGAGGTCACCGAGGAGTATGAGCAGTAAGTGGGGGGGTTTAACCCCCTTTGTTTCTCCCTATTCCCATTTTAGCACTGCAGCATTGCTTGGGAGTGCTCTCATTGTTAGCCCAGCACCCACCAGGGACGCCCAGCCTGTGCTCCTCTGCCTTGGCAGTGCCTGACCCCAGCAGTGGCAGCTTGTGCTGGGAGCTGTATGCACACCCATGGGCAGGACAAGGACGATTCCTGTGTTAAAAATGCTGCAGTTGAAACCTGTGAGACAGAGATGGGAAAACCCAATCTGCTGCTGCTGCAGTCCTGCTGCCACAAGCAGAGCATCACTCTCCAGGCCCAGATTTGAGAGCAGCTTCTGCTGAGGGAGGCTGCTGGCCCAGGAGGCACAATCTGGGGAGATGGGGTTGGGTTATAGGGGTGAGCTCCAACACAGCTCCCACTTCTCATCCATCAGCAGAGAAAGGGGGCCTGAATCCTCTGGTGTTTCAGGGCCACACCAGACCCATGTGTGTCACCAATTTGTCCTCGTGAGAAGGGCTGTGCATCTCTCCCAGGGCCAGGGAAGGACCTGGGGGCAAAGGTGGGATGTGAGATGCCCGTTTCTGGGATTACAGGCCAAGGTCACTTCTCATGCTGCCCAATGGTGGGGTGCCCTGACCACTGTCGAAGTGCCACTCCAGACCTTCAGCCCGTGCTCTCCACAGCCTGTAGGGTGACCTGGGCCTTGTCCCTGTCCCCACTGCCACCTGCCAGCCACCCACTCAGCAGCTGCCCAGCAGCCGTGGCCTGTGCTATGAGGGAGCCAGCCTTGAGGAAATCCCAAATTCACCTCAGCCTCACTGATGGCCCCGTTCCAGCAGCTCGATGTGACTCTGTAAATTCCTGTTGTGCTTTGCAGGGAGCAGGAAGGTAAGAGGGCATGGAGCACCTGCAGTTGCCCTGAGGCCAAAAACCGATCAGAGAAACTCCAGTAACCTAAAGCTTCTTTCTCTTCTCTCTGTCCGTGCCCTGTGTGCTCTGTGAAGAGGAGTGCGTGGAGGAAGGTAGGAGTTGCACCTGCAAGGACCAAGAGCCAAATGCGAGGGCGTCAGTGTTTTCCTGGGGGGTTTGGGGGTCAGCTCCTGGGCTGCAATGGGCAAATCATGTCCAGGAAAGGCAGATGTGACCATGTTTGAGATGCCTGAACCTCATCAGTAGATTCAAAACCAGTCTGAATTTTCTCAGGATCTCTTTTGTCAGTGATTCTTTGACTCAATGCTGGACATGGGTGTTGGCTGAAGTGTGATCCCAATATCCCAACGGAAGCCTCTGCTGAACAGTGTGACAGTCGTGTCCAAACTCAAACTTCCACCTGCCTCAACCTGAGATACAGCCCCAGCATGGGAGCTGGGCTGGGCTGGGCTGGGCTGGGCTGAGCCTCTGGCTGCTCTAGGGCACTGCCAGGCAAAGCACCCTGAGTGAAAAAGCAAAGAGAGGTGCAGGGGGAAGCCCCTGCTGTGCTCCAATGCTCATCTCATGCATGCCCAAACTCTGTGGCACCCAACTAATCCCTGTGCTTATTCCTTCCCTCCTCCCTGGCTCAGAAGAGGAAGAATGGATAGAGGAAGACGACGGTAGTTATTGCACCTTTCATTATTTCCTCTCCCTGCTCTTGCGGAAAGTCACGGGTAGATGTGTTCTGCCTCTCCCTGGTTGGGGAATGGTTTTCTTTCATTCTTCCACTTCTCTCTCTTCTTCCTGCGCTCCTCCCATGCCCTGCTTTGCTGTGTGTCCATCCTCTGTCTGCGCCTTGTCTCTTAGATCTGCCAGCCATGGTTTGCTGTCTTTGCTGTCTTCTTTTTCTTCCCTTCTGTCTGGCTGTCGCACCACGGTGCTCCCAGGGCCTGCGGGCACAGCATCGCCCTGGCTCCGCGGGAGGAATCCCGTGGGGACGCTGCTCCCTCCAGTGGAAAAAGGCTCCAGCAGTGTCATAAATGCCATTGCAAAGGTGCCAGAGGCGCTCCCTGCCAGAGCAGAGCAATAGAAATCCCTCCTTCCATCCTGGACTGTGAGGGAATGGTAGCATGAGAGGGGATGAGGGGCAAGCCTGGAGGTGGCGATAAATCCGTCAATTTAATTAATTTAGGGGGTTCTGCCCTGACGAGCACAGAGCAGCCCTGGGGTCAGGGTAGAGGGGAGCCCTTTGCTCCCGAGCTGCTGCGGCTCCCCGGGTCCCCCTGGGCTCTGTGCTGCAGCTATCCAAAAGCAGGGATGGATGCGAGGATGAATGTGAGGATAAATGTGAGGATAAATGTGAGGATAAATGTGAGGATGAATGTGAGGATAAATGTGAGGATGAATGCGAGGATAAATGTGAGGATAAATGTGAGGATGAATGTGAGGATAAATGTGAGGATAAATGTGAGGATGAATGTGAGGATAAATGTGAGGGAGCCAGGGAACGCTGCTGCTGCTGCTGCTGTGCTCACTCTACCCTCATTGCACAGGTCAGGAAGAGCAGGTAGAGGAGGCAGAGGAGGAGACCACAGAAGCCAAGGCAGAAGGTGAGTGGGGGCTGTGCCAGAGAGCTCCGTGGCTTGGCTGGGCCTTGCTCTGCTCCAGGGGGTGCCAGCTGGGGGCTGGGATGTCCCAGGGTGGCTGTGACAGGGGGACATCAGCCCCAAGGGGCAGCTGTCCCCCCGATCTTCTGTCCAGTAAGGGGGTGTCAAACTGAGATGCCCTTCCCTGCTCTGTCTGGCCCCTATAAACATGAAATGGTGATGAAATATGTGAAATACAAATGGTATTTGCTGGTGGCTGTGCCCAGCCCTCTGAAATAATGCCAAAAATGGTCCAAGACTGCTTCACCAAGGGGTCCATTGCCTTAGAGGGGGTTTCCAGAGCTGGGATTGAGTGCTGATGTATCTGATCATCAACAGAGCACTGGGTGTCATGAGGTGGCTTTGGGGCATGGTGTTTGACCCTGTGCTGTCACTTCTGCTGGGGCAGGCTCAGATGCCAGCTGTGACCCTGAGTCAGGGTGCTGGGACCCCTCTGTGCTGGGGGATGTGACTGCCCTCACCCAGGGGTGCTCATATTCTCCCATTGCTTTTAAACAGAACAAGAAGATGAAACAAAAGCAGCAGGAGAAGGTAAAGCGGGAGCAGAGGAGAGATGGGTTTGGCCATTGCAGTGCTGCTCCCAGTCCCCTGAGACACTGGGCCCTGAACAGGGTTTGGGTGCTGAATTTATTTGCTGCCAAAGGGACAATTGGTGGTAAATGGGGCAGAGCTGCCCAGGCCATATCCCCCAGAAGGACAGGCACAGCAGGAGGGATGGATTTGTGCTGCCTCTGGCAGAAATGCACCCAAAATACAGCAGGAGAGGGAGGCACTGCTGCTTTTCCAGCCCGAGCTTCTGCAAAACTTGTCTAGATTCCTCCTGGAGGGAACCTGGGGCTCTCCTGGCCACCCTGTGAGTGAGGGATGTCCCTCAGGGGCCTGCTGTCCCCCCATTCATCTGCAGGGATGGAGTTGGGGTTTGCAGTGGGGACAAGCCAGGGACAGCCTCCCCACAGTGTCCCTGGGCAGGACTGGCCACGGGGACACAAAGCATCGTGTTTTCCACAGATGGAGAGGGAGACCGGGAGCAGGAACCCGGGGAAGGTGAAGTATCACCCTCGTTCTTCTGCCTGACTGGAGGGTACCAGGGTCTGCTCTGCTCAGCCAGCAGCACCAGCTGTGCCTCGGGCACGACGTGGGCTGGGAGACGGTCCCGGTGAAGCTCCTGCTGCTGCCGGGGAGAGGGAGGGCTCAGCTCAGGGTGGGGTTTGGGTCAAGGTGTGACAGGAAACCCCTCGCTGATACTGACCTTGTCTTTCTGTCCTGCTGCTGGGACCTGCAGGTGAATCGAAGCCAAAACCCAAGTAAGTGTGGCAGGGTTTTCCCTGGGGCAAGGTCTGAGCCAGGGCAGAGGCTCAGTGGGACAGAGCCTGGTCCATAAAAGACAGGGCACAGGGAGCCCCCAGGGCATGGAAACAGGGTGGGAGTGGGGCATGGAGAGAAACAGGGAGAGAAACAGACAACAAAACACAGACCATGAAGGGGACCCTGAGAATGAGGTCTTTAGGCAGTTCTGAAGCATTTTATATGTTCCCTGGGAGAAGCTCAGCTGTCCTGTGACCCTGCAGGTGGCAGAAGTGTGTGTGTGTGTGTGTGAGCATCCCAGTCTAGGATACAGAGTCCAGGCTATGGCTGGCATGAGGCACACGTTTCCAGGAGTGCCACGGACTGAGCCTGAGGGAGCAGGACTGTGAACCATTGCCAGAAGCCTGGGGGGTCCTCCTGGGCCCCTGGGATTCTGCAGTGTGGGAGGCAGATCTGCCCTCACCATCATCATCCCTTCATCCCTTTGTGCCCCCGCTGAGCATCTCCTGCCCTCCTCAAGCCCCACAGGATGAGAGGATGCAGCTGCCTGTGCCAGGTCACTCCGCAGCACACAGTGCCCTTTGTGGGGAGCAGTGGGTGCCTGCCAGCTCAGGGGGCCTGGCAAAGGGCCCTGCCATGCTTTCTGCAGCTTGCAGAGTTATTCCAGCCATGCAGGAACCTGGGAGTGTTTCCCGGGAATGCCACAGGTCTTCCTCTGTGGCTGCCCAGCTGGCACCTCCAGCAGGATGCATTGCACTCCCTATCCTCCAGCTGTGCCCACTCTGCATCCCCGGGGGCTGCGGGGCTCGGGGGGTGGGATGGGTGAAGGGCACGTGCTGTCCCAGACCTGCTGCAGCCACATGGTGCTCCGGCTCCCCTTCCACTGCAGGGTCTTCATGCCCAACCTGGTGCCTCCCAAGATCCCAGATGGCGAGAGACTGGATTTTGATGTAAGTTATGGCCCAGTTCCCATTCCTGGGGTGCTGCCCTCCTGCTGCGCCCCCTCAGTGTCTGGCAGCTGCGGGAGGCTCTGGCTGTTCGTGTCTGGTGCAGGACATTCACCGCAAGCGCATGGAGAAGGACCTGAACGAGCTGCAGGCCCTCATTGAAGCCCACTTTGAGAGCAGGAAGAAGGAGGAAGAGGAGCTCCTGTCCCTCAAGGACAGGATTGTATGTGTTCAGCCTTCCCCTCTCTGGCTATTGCCACCCTGTCCCTGTGGGCACTCAGCCACTGTCCCCTCCCCAAAGTCCTGGCAGATCTGGGACACCCCTGACCCTGCAGAAGAGAGTCTGAAGGTTGAGCCAGATTTCTATGAGCTGGAAGGGACCCACAGGGGTCACTGAGTCCAGCTCCTGGCCCTGCACAGAAAACCATCCCACCCCATCCCTGAGAGCATTGTCCCAATGCTCCTGGAGCTCTGGCAGCCTCAGGGCTGTGCCCATTCCCTGGGGAGCCTGTTCAGTGCCCCAGCACCCTCTGGGGGAAGGACCTTTCTCTGATATCCATCCTAAATCTCCCCTGGAACATCTCCAGCTGTTCCCTTCCTGACCCTGCTCACTGGGCTGCCCCTGGTGTGGCTGCTGTGGTGCTGCGGTGCCTGATGTGGATGCACGTCTCCCCGGGGTCACTGTCCCCAGGCTCCCTGGGGGCTCTCGGGGCTCTCGGGTCAGGGATCTGTCCCTCGGACCAGAGAGGATGCAGATTCCCTGCGGCGTCCAAGCCAAGGTCCCTCCCTGTGCAGGAGCAGCGGCGAGCGGAGCGGGCGGAGCAGCAGCGCATCCGCAGCGAGCGGGAGAAGGAGCGCCAGGCCCGCATGGCCGTGAGTGTCCTCTGGAAATGCGGCCAGGGATGGGCTGGGGCAGTCGGGGACACGGGCCGTGTGTCCAGCCACCACTGCTGACCACCTCCTGACCCTGGCAGGAAGAAAGAGCTCGCAAGGAGGAAGAGGAGGCGAGGAAGAGGGCGGAGGAGGAGGCGCGGAAGAAGAAGGCGTTCTCCAACATGCTGCACTTTGGGGGTTACATGCAGAAGGTGGGACCCTTCCCAAGGGGGCTGCGATGGAGCCACTGCTGCTCCTGGAAAGGCTTGGCCATAGGCTGACCTCATCCATGTGACGCTCTGGGGTTTACAGGCAGGAGGGGGCCGGGAACTGCGCTTGGGTCAGGAGTTACAGGGCCAAAGTGAGCTCGGAGCTGCCCCGAGATCAGCTCTGCTCTGCAGATGTGCAGCTGCAGCCTTGCCTCAGGGACAGGGGCGAGGACATGGATGAAGTGCCTCGTCCACTGTTGCCAAAATGTCCTCAAGAACCTCGTGTGATTCTTGAGTCCCAAAAGCTGAGGGTGTTGGGTGCAGAACTGGGGATGGGGGAGAGCAAAGGCTGGGCAGACTTCCTCCTCTCCAGTGGATTGATGGTTTCCTCAGTCAGAGAAAAAGGGTGGGAAGAAGCAAACAGAGCGGGAAAAGAAGAAGAAGATCCTCAGTGAGCGACGGAAGCCCCTGAACATCGACCACCTCAGCGAGGACAAGCTGAGGTGAGCACAGGCTGCAGGAGGGATGGCCTGGGCAGGAGCCCTGGGCTGGGTCCCAGCTCCAGGGCAGGATCCCGGGCTGAGGACAGCTCCTTGGGGCTTCCAGCTGAGGGGCATGGGCTGTGACAGCCCATGGGGGACACAGGCTCCAAGGCTGTGCAGGGCCACCATGGCCAGGCTGCGGCTGATGGCACCAGCCATGAGAGGGAGCCAGGGTCACACGGGTGGGACAGGTGTCCCCACATGTCCTGACCTCCCCTGTGCCTCTTGTCCTGAACTCACTGCCTGGATAGCACATCCTTGTCTGGGAGCCTCCCGAGCCCCATCCCCGGGAGCAGATGAGGGGTTGGCATCAGTGCCCCATCCCTGCACTGAGCTCCCTGGGAGCCACAGCCCTTCCCTGCACTGTCCCCAGCCGGCTCTTCCTGCAGGGACAAGGCCAAGGAGCTGTGGCAGAACGTTCATGACCTGGAGGCTGAGAAATTTGACCTGCAGGAGAAGTTCAAGAGGCAGAAATATGAGGTGAGCCCTCTGTGAAGCAGAAATACAAGAGGGCCTCTGTGATTTGTCCACCCTGTGTGTTCCCAACTGCTCCTTCTGCTCCTCAGCCAGGAGATGAGCTGGGGTGTGCAAGTGATCTTCCAGCTCCTGGGGACCTGTACCTGGCACCACCACAGGTGGTGGTGGGCAAGCACAGGGCAAACACATCACAGCCAGGCAGGAGGGAGCCCTGAGCAACCTGAGACAGTGGAAGGTGTCCCTGCCCATGGCAGGAGGTGAAATGAGATGGGCTTGAAGGTCCCTTCCAGCCCCAACCATCCTGGGATTCTGGGATTCAAAACCCCACAGGAAAACTGCTGGGGAAAAGAGAGCAGTGATGCATCTTCAGCTAGCCCTGGTTCCCAGCCTGGGGCTTCTTGTCAGACCTCACCATCCACCGTTTGTTTCTTTTTTTATTGCCCAACCTCACCACCCACCATTTTTTCTTGCAGATCAATGTTCTTCGAAACCGCATCAGTGACCACCAGAAAGTGTAAGTGGCTGCACATCCCTCCTCCAGCTCCAGCTCCCTGCTCCCCAGTTCCCTCCTATAGATCTCCCTTGCTAAACCACCTCCTCCTCTTCCCCCTGCTGCTGGTGTCCAGCATTCCTGGACCTGCAGGTCTGTCCCAGGGATCTCGGTCCCTGCCGTTCTGCTCCTGACAGACCTCCATGGTCCCACTGTCACCAGCTGTCCCCCTCCCCAGAGACCCCAGCAGGGGATGGACCCCAAGGGGAACCCACAGAAAGCATGGGAAGCTTTGTGTCCTGTGGGGTCCTTCCAGTCTCCAGCCACCCCATCCCTGCAGGGGCTCTGCCCAGCATCTCAGGAAGCTGCTGGAGATGCCAGCTTGTCCAGCAGGGGAAGTCCCATGGGCTGTGGGATTTGTACAGGCCCACAAGGCCAGGGGAACCAGTCCCGTGCCCATGTTCCCTGTATGTGGCTGGGGAACCCTTTGCACGAGGGTGGAAGAGGGTGTTTCACCCCTACTCCCAGGAGCAGCCTGGTGCTCTCACATCCCCATCCCACTTCCCCTCATGTGGGAGGTGCTCAGCCCACCCCATGTGTCAGGGGCAGCAGCTCCCACCCACTTACACCAGGTCTCTCTTCTCTCCTGCCCCACCATGGCGTGATCCTGCAGCAAAGGGTGAGTACAGGCATTTCTGAGGGCTGCGTGTCCCTGCATGGGTGCTGTGTGTGTCCCTGCATGGGTGCTCTGTGTGTCCCTGCACATGTCCCATGTGTGTCCCACTCCATGTGTGTTGCAGGGACACCAGGACCCCAGGGTAGGAGCAGGGCTCAGGGATGAGGCAATCCCAAGGATTGGCAGCCAGAAATGCCCTTCACTGCCCACCCAAACCTCTTCCCCTGCGCTGCCCTGTGCTGGTTACGGCGAGCGATAGGCTGGGTCCTGAAGGATGCTGTAGCTCCACTTATCCCTCTGCAGCCACAGATGCAACTTGTCAATTCTTCTTGGAGTGATTCTTGTTGGGGAGAAACATGGGAAGGAAATGCTGGGTCCTTAGAATCACCTGGCAGCTGCATGAGCTTGTTCCCAGAGAGTCCCAAGACACTTTGACTCAGGTCCCAAGGTTTACCTGGGGCCAGTGAAGACCGTCGGCCCCAGACCGTCGGGCAGTTTCCAACGGGAAGAGGCTGCAGGACCACTGACAGCACCCACCTCATCCTCCCTGTGTGCCCACTGATGCCTTTTTGCACGTGCTTTTCCTCTTCCCTTGCAGATCCAAGGGTGCCCGTGGGAAGACCATGGTGGGCAGCCGACGGAAGTAGAGGCTCAGGGAGAGAGGAGGCCAAGCCTCAGGAGCTGCAGTGGCTGCACAGAGCCCTGGCTGCAGGACTGGGGGTTCCAGGGGGTCGAGGCCTCATGAGTGTCCCATCTCCACCCCCCAGTGTTGTTGTGTCTGTAAATAAAGAGGTGGTAAGGGGGTGCAGATGTGGTCTCCGTCCTGAGGCTCTGATCCCAGAGAACACAGGCTCAGCACAGCTCGAGGAGTTGCCCACCTGTTCTCCAAGCTGTGAGAGATCACAGCAACCACCCAGGACCCCCCCAGTAACTGTCCCTGTGCCTCCCAGCATCATCTCAGCTACAGTCCTTGGCAGGTTTGGTGACAGACCTCAGTGGTCCGAGCTGCTTTTCCTGTTGCACTTTGGGGCAATCCTTGTCATGGCCACTTTTTGTTCTGCTTTTGCTGTACCAGAGCCCCACTGGCTCCTCTCTGGTCACAGCTGGCCCGTGGCAAACCATAGACAGGGCACTGCTTCCCAGCCTCTTGGCCCATGGAATAGCCACTAACTCACCTTCCAGGCTATTTCCATTCCTGTTTCTTGCTCTTGGCAAAGGCTCTGACCAGCTGTGTTTGCCTTCTCTGCATGTTCCTGATGGCATGCAATGAAGCCTTGGGATAAAGCTGTGTGGGGAGGCTGCTTCTCTGTGCTTCAGGAGGCAGATCTCTTCCATCTGGCTGGGAATCTGCAGCATGTCCCATGTGTGCTGTCCCTGGCGACATGTCACCTGCAGACCTCCCAGTGTTCCTGGTGGATCTGGACCTGGATCTGGATCTGGGCTGACAGCCAGCCCCAGGCACCAGAGGTCCTGGAGGGCTGTTACGCTGCCCAGTTATGTTATGACAACCTGTCCCGTGCTGATGATAAAGCAAAGTCCAGCATGTGAGAAACCTTTCCCAGAGTAGTGGGGATGGGAGGATGCACAGGGTGGTGAATCTTGTCCCTTGGAAAGATGTTTTCATGTTTTCCGTCCCCCTTGCTGGGACTGCTTCTCTTCCCCATCCCTTGCCTGGTGATGTGGGGGCTCCTGCAGGTTTCTCCCATGTGCTCCTGTTGGATGAAGATTTCTTTTCCCTACTTCAACACACATCACCAGGTTTTGGGGAATAAGGCTGAGGGATGCTCAGAATCAGTGAGGCACAAGTGGAGGACAACCATCTCCCCACCACCTCCCTCCTCAAAAGCGAGATGTGGAGGGCAAAGGGGAGAGCTGGGTAGGGTGGCAGTGCTGGGACACGAGACATCCAGAGGGTGCCTGAGCGACGGTCCAGTGACATTTCCAGCCTGCCTGACGCACGGCAACAGGAGACGGGAGCGCTGGGGGCAGTCAGCTGTGTCTGCTTTGGAAAACAGATCCCCTCCTGCAGGCTCTGCAGATCCATCTCGCGGCTTTTCCCGCGGGCGGCAGGGCCGTGCCGGCGCAGCCGCTCTGCCCGTGCCCGGGGCTGGCAGCGCCCAGGGCGGGGGCACCGGCACTCCTGCTTCCCGCAGCGCTGCCTGTCCCGGCAGCTCCGGGCCCGCCCGGCTGCCGGTGCCCGGCCCCGCCGGTCGGTGCCCGGCCCCGCCGGTCGGTGCCCGGCCCCGCCGGTCGGTGCCCGGCCCCGCCGGTGCCGGGCCCTGCCGGTGCCCGGCCCCGCCGGTGCCCGGCCCTGCCCTGCCGGGCTCGCTGCGATCCTCTGGGCCGCGGCGGAGCAGCCGGGGGCTCCTGCGGGCTCCAGGGCGCTGGGGACGGCCCCGGCGCTGCACCGGCTGCGGGACGGACGCCGGGGCTCGGCTGCCGGGCCTGGCCGGAGCACGGCACGGGCTCTGGGCTGCTGCCGGCGAGCAGCTCTGCCCCGGAGCCCTCTCCAGAGGCTGCAGCTCCTCCCGAGGGGCAACTCCAATCTCTGCTCTGTGTGAGCGGCGACTGGAGCCGAGGGGAGGGTCAGGCTGGAGAGCAGGAAAGGTTCTTCCCCCAGAGGTGCTGGCACTGCCCAGGCTGCCCAGGGAATGGGCACCGAGGCTGCCAGAGCTGCAGGAGGGTTTGGACAGCGCTGCCAGGGATGCCCAGGGTGGGATTGTTGGCTGTTTGTCCAGGGCAGGTGTCGCTGTCGAGGCAGGACGGGAACGACTGACTTAGAACGCTGTGAGAGTAAAACTCCGATTTATTCAAAATACACTGTTCTTTTATACAGAGTTCTCAGTTTCTTTCTTTGACTGAATCTGAGTCCCACAGGCAGGGGTTGGACTGGATGATCCCTGTGGGTCCCTTACAGCTCAAGACATTCCAAGACTCTGATGTGCTGCTGTCAGTGAGAGAGCCCAGGAGCAGCCTGCAGAGTGTTCACAGCCTTGAAGTGCTTTGTTGTGGAGATCTGAGCAACCTGGTCTGTGGAAGGTGTCCCCGTCCACGGCAGGCGGTAGAAAGGGATGAGCTCTGAGGTCCCTTACAACCCAATCCATTCAGTGATTCCGTGTTTGCAGTGCTCTGCTGTCCCCCAGCTCTGCTGTGTGCTCTCCCTGTCCCCACGAGCAGCAGCACCTCTGGCTGCCAGATCAAGGTGCTGCATCTGGTGTGAGGGGTGGGGAGCCCTGCCCTTCCCTAGCAGGGCACCTTCCCGGGAGCTGGGAGGTGAAACATTCCCTGGCAGGCTGCAGAGGAGCAGCATCTCTCCCACAGGACGTGGACCTAGGGTGACAGAATTCCCTGCCTTGGAAGGGACCCACAAGGACCATTGAATCCAGCTCCAGCTCCATCCTGGGGTCCTTTGAGGAGCTCTTTGTGCAGCACCTCTCTGGAGCACAGCTCATGGGAACGCTGTCAGCCTGAGCACTGGGGTCGGGCTGTGTCTCCTGAAGTCTGTGCAGTGCAGGCAGCCAGGAGCCCTTGGCTGCTCAGTGCAGACACTGGAGGAGCTGCAGCGTGTGTGTGCTGCTTGCAGCACAGGGCTTGTGTGGCACACAGGGCTGTGCCCTCCCCAGGGTGGTACCAATGTCCTGGCAGGAGCTCAAATCTGCAGCGGCTGCTGCCAACCCAGGGTCCAAATCCTTGTCCCACAGTGTCCAGCACAGGTGTCCCAGCACTGCTGAGAAGCCCAGCCTGCAGCAGACTTGTGCTGCCAGGGCTCACAGACCTGCAGCTCATGGTCTGTCGATGCATTCCATGCCAGGATGCTCCCCGGGGTGCCACTGTCCCCATGGGTGGGATGGATGTGAGGAAGGATGCATTTGGTACTGAAAAGGTGCTGATAAATGCTGGGACGATGTCTGGGGCTCTCCTTGTGCTAAAGCAGTGCTGGGAGTGAGGCAGCCCTGTGCTCTTCTCTGCCTGCTTGAGACCCAGAACAAAGGCACAGGGAAATATTGCAGAGCCAGGTGCTGCCACTGCATCCCACACAGGAGCTGCCTGCTCATGGCTTTGGGCAGCTCCCGTTATCCAGGGGTGCTCTGGGCAGCACGGGAGATGTTGGGATTGCTGTCCTGGGGCCATCTGGCCAATGCATGTCCAAGGAACCAGGGTCAGGCCAGTGCCCACAGTGTTGTGGGCCAGGACATGGCTGCAGTGGCTCACAGACCCTGTGGGACAATGGAGCAGAAGCTCTTGAAGCTGGAATTCTGCCAGGGCCCCAGGGTCTCACTAGATGGGATGTGGGGCCTCTCATCGGAGCCATCAGTTGGGGCACAGAGTGAGGGATCCCCTCACCCCCAGTTCAGAGATGGTGGATCATGGAATGGTGAAGGTTGGGAGGGGCCAAGGGAGGTTTGCTAGGATGGAGCTGTGTCAAGGGAGATTTAGGCTGGATATCAGGAAAGGTCCTTCCCCCAGAGGGTGCTGGGCACTGCCCAGGCTCCCCAGGGAATGGGCACAGCCCCAAGGCTGCCAGAGCTCCAGGAGAGTTTGGACAGCGCAGCCAGGGGTGCCCAGGATGGGATTGTTGGGGTGTCTGTGCAGGGCAGGGGTTGGACTGGGTGATCCCTTTGCATCCCTTCAGGACATTCCCCGATTCTGTGATTCAGTCCCCCCTCCCTGCTCAAGCAGGGAGATGCTGAGGAACTGTTTCCCCCTCAGGCCCATCCTGGGTGGGTGGACTGCTCTGCCTCTCCTGCTTGTCTCCCTGGGGAGCCCATCAGCCCATTCCTGGTGCAGGATGGGGAACCTGGGTCCTGTGGGGCTGGACAGGGGGAGGGCACCCTGACTCCTGTGCCCGTGGTGGACTGGGGCCAGCACAGCCTCCACTGGCCAGGTCAGGGTTTTGGTGCCATCCAGGGTGTGCAGAGCAGCATGGGGAAGGTGGCACTGGATGCTGTCACTGTGGGCAGCCAGCAATAAGCTTTGGAGCATCCTGTGGAATTCACAGCTTCCAGCACCCATGAATTCATGTACAGGGTGCCTGTGTTGCCCTGATCCACAGTGCCACCGTCCCCACATAAGCAGCCTCCAGCTCCAACCAAGGCCAAATGACAACCAAAAACTGCAGAAAATGGAGAAGTACAACCTTGGATTTCTTGCAGGTCAAATCCAGCAACCACCTGTAGATTAAAAGACAGAAAAAAGAACATAAATGCTGAACTTTGCGACACCTTCCAGAGGTGGAGCCCTCATCCTCAGAGTCCCAAGCCCTGGTATTGCTGTGCCACGGCCTCCTCACCCAGCCCCTGCAGGGCAGTTCCGTTTGTTCCTGCAAACATCTGACATTTGCAAGTTTCTCATGATTGTTTTTAAATGCCTTATAAAACTTCCAGTTTCATTGAATGTTTAGCTCTGTAAATCACTGCCCGTAGCAGCTCATTCACAGGTCTCAATTAATGGCCTTTAATTGGGTAAAGTCACCCATGGTTTCTGCTGATTCCACAGATGTGTTAAGTCACCAACGAAGTCTTTAATGCACCCCAAGCGAGGTTTGGGTTTGGCACTGACACAATGCCCCGTGTCCACAGACCAGCCCTGCTGACACAGCAGGCAGTGATGCTCTGGGATGGAAGAAAGAGCCTTTGGCTGCCGTCTAGAAGCAGCATTTTATTGGCACTTGGTGGAAGGAAA